TTCAACAAGAGAAATAGCTCTGAAATAATCTAAATGAGCTGTAAGTGTCTTGATAAATTGTTCTCTTTCCTCTTCTTTGTTCAACGAGAATGCATGCGAGGTCAATGCGTGCTCAATTCCAAAAGTCTCGATATGAACATTCTCAACTGAAAGTAAATCGGCTTGCATGCAGAGTATGAATATGTTGTCTCTAGAAGACAAAATTCCAAATGTTCTTAGTGGCTTTGGGCAATGTTTTCTGTTTCTTTGAGCTGTTAACATGGAAGATTTCAAACATGTTCTCATCAATAAGAGCATTTTTGCAAAGTCTTTGTGTTTCCAAATGGAAGAGCAATTGTCTCTTTGGTGTTCTATAACAAGGCATATGTGATTTAGAGTGGTATCAACTGAAGCAATTACATGACAATCCCTTTTCAAAGATGACTTGAAAGAATGGGATTGGATGTCACAAAATTTCAGGGCTCGATCCAAACATTCGTCTACCATGTTAAAGGGGTCATCTCTTCAAAGTTGTTGTTTTAAACAACTAGTACTTACGTTTGGAATAAAAGCTGATCGTTACTTAAACATGCATTTGCAATAATGCAAGTCAGTGGGAATTGATATGTCCACTCGTTTTCTATTCCAGCTTTTGTGAATTTAGAATAGTTTAATAAAGGATCGAATAGAGAAAATATTCGAGTATTGGATGAAGTGCCATCAAATCTGGAAATCCTTGTTGTGTCTGCAATATTAATGGTTGTTGGTTCAGTCTTGAAACATATTTGAAAGTTTACACAAAAATTGAAAGTATTATCGTCCAACTTTGCATTATGTTGATCCAAGAATGTTCTATTTTCTTCAGCCAGTGCTTTTTTGTAGGTACTAGTGTCGTTGTGATTTAGTTGTTGAATCTCCTCCTCAATAATTTTCCCTTCACAACAACTATTAGCAGGCTCCATCATTAATCTTAGTAGTACCGTTTGGTGGTTTAGTGTGTTTCTCGATCTAAATTTGAGTTTGAATATAATTTTTGTACATTTTCACAATTTATTTTGTTGTTATATGAGCATTGATTTTTTGTATTTTATTTTTTTGATAAATTATTGGGTGAATATATATATATATATATATATATATATGTGAACAAAAATTATATTTATCTATGTTAGAAAAATCATTTCCCTTTTATTCTTCATCATGCTCCTCATCATGTTTTTTACACATCCTGTCTTTATCAAATCCCATTCTCACTACATCCTTTTCATCATAATTCCTCGCAAATTCATTTATCTGTTCAGATTACATTTATTTACCCCTTAAAAGTGATTTTCCATTCTTCATTTTACATGAGTTTTTCGGTGATTTCTTGGTAAGAACTCTTTATTAGTAGTGTTGAATTCCGATTGAATATGAGGAATGGACTTGTTTCCGATTGTAAATTACAAAATAAAGTGAAAATATTCCGATATGCTTAATAAGCGACCTCAATTCCGAGTTGTTAAAAATTTTCCATGCTCAAAAAATTATTCGAAATGTCTGGTAATAACAAGAAAGGAACTCCACAAAGGAAACAACACGCTGTATCATCTCCATCTCATCCTAAACAAAGAGTGGAAGTATTCAGCCCATCTGATTCATCTTCATCAGCTACCGACACAACAGCTAGAATTTATGCTGATGGTGATTCTACTACTACATATCAACAAAGCCAAGACCGTATCGCCAACCCTGAAAACCAAAATTCCGGTCTTGTATCTTCAGGTGCTGCGGCTCTCGCTAATGCTCTTAATCTTAAACAATCTGATTCGAACAACAATTTCGGTACTGGTAAAAGAGAGAGAGATTCTGAAGGTATTTCATTGAAAGAGTACCTACGTGATTGCTATCAATCAATCACTGGAGAATCAATTAATGACGAGTTATCTTCAGATGATATATTTGAGTTGATATTGTCAACTTCTAATGAACAATATTCAGCTGACTCTGAATTCAAGAATAGAATGGCTTTTCTACAAAGAGTGTTCAGAGAAGAAGTTGACGCCCCTGTTCCTGATGTCTATGGTGGAAAAGAATTTAGAAGTAAAGGTTATCCTTTACTACTTGCCCAATCTCACATTATTGTACAAGTTTGTAAAAGATTGAGAAATGGTAACTCTTGTTTTTCTAATGGGATTTGCACTTTTCCCTTTTCCAGATCGAAGTGGAGACCAAGAAAATCTATTGATTGAGTTGGGATAAGTATAGATTTTTCTTCTTGAACTAGCCAACCTAGCAAGTTTAAATCTGAAAGAATTGTTCTTATCTTTTCGGAAACCTCTTTTGCTGAATTGTCTAATATTAACATGTCGTCTATGTAAATAAATATGATTGTGCCTCTCTGCCTCCATTTCTTGATAACTTCCTTCATTATTTTGGTGAATAACCGAGGGGCTGTACTTAAACCGAACGGAAGGCATTGAAAGTGGTAAGTTTTGCCTTCGAAGATGAATCCTAATAGGACTTTGTGTTGTTTCCTTACTGGAACTTGAAAATAACCTTTCTTTAAATCCAACTTGCATGCCCACATTCCTTAATAAAGATTTACATCCTTCAAAGCAGGTTCCAGGCTGTTTCACCATTAAGGTGGTTCAGCCCCTGAGCTTTAATACCCAATTGTCTAAATATTATTTGAACTTTATTTTGTGTGTTTACTATCGAAACAACTGTTTGTATTTCATTTTGTTCTGTCAACAGATTTCACATATTATAACAAAAGGTTGAGCATTTGTTATTACAATGTCTGATAATGTGTGTCTTTTGTTGCCTGTTTGAATTGGCCGTAATAACATTTTAAGATAATAGAAACTTGAGTATGATGAGTAATACCATGAATATATATTGTATTTCCTTTAGAATCTAGTAATTTAGTTACCTTGGTAAGTCAAGTGTTGTATATTGTCACTTTATTAGTTGTAAATGACTTTGAGAATAAATATATATATATATATATATATATATATATATATATATATTTATAATTTGAAATATTTATCAAGTGTTGTAGTTAAAATTTAATTTGAGTGTAATAAATCTTTATATGAAAAGCTATAAAAAGTACTTTCTTTTTATTAGAGATCAAGTTATCGGCGTTAATTGTCTTAAAAATCAATGGTTAAACAACTTCAATCATATTTATTAGAATCTTGATGATACAATTTTTTCCATACCATGTTTACCATTTAATATCGAGTAGTAAAAATATGTAAATTAAAAAAAGGAAAAAATGTTGAGTTTTGGTATTTTTTTAAAAAATGTTTTTTTGAAAAAAATTTCGATAAAACCTAGAAATTTATTAGTATTTCAATGAAAAATACGAATTTTCATACATGCGTTGGTGGGATATGTTTGTCATATTAGATATTTAATAAAAATAAAATAAAAATTTTCGCATGCATTTATATATATATATATATATATATACATCCGAAAAAATTTTTGTTGAAAGTTGGTTTATAAGATGGTGGTTAAATTGGTTTATCTGAAAAATCATTTAAAAGTGATTTAGATATAAAGATAATGAAATTAATTGAAAATTAAGAAGCTAAAATAAATTTTCAAAAATTTATCGATTTGAAATTTAGAAAAGCTTAACAAAGTAATATATATAATATAAAAACCCATTAATTTTTAAAAATCTTCTAAAGTTGGTATTATCATTATGAAGATTATTGATTGGAAGTAATAATCTTTATGGTAAATCCAAAGAAAATGAATTCAAAGAAAGAACAAACTTTGTAAAAATATTACAAAAACACTGTTATTAGAAGTAGTAAAAGTAGAGTTATGATAGTTGTTTATTAAAACAAAGAAAAACTCTTACAACAAGAAACAGACAACTAGATTCATGGAGGTTGATGGAGTGATAAGTTTAAAAATAAATGGAACTAACATCAATTAAAATATATATATATATATATATATATATATTTCAAATATATATATATTTCAAATATCATCATTTGACTACTTTCAGCTTTTATTGTTAAAAACATAAATAAATTTCCGGTGTTTATTACAACTAGGTAAAACTGAAACGGTACTACTAAGGTGAATATGAGAAAGAAATGTTAGTGAAATAAAGAAAATTTTACAATGTTTCCGAAACATTGATGAAACCTCACTCAGAAATTAATCCCTTACCAAAGATTAATGAGCGCAACGGTTTTTGGGAGGGAGTGGTGGGTCCACTCTTTGTTTAGGATGAGATGGAGATGATACAGCGTGTTGTTTCCTTTGTGTCTTTCCAGTATTCTTGTTATTACCAGACATTT